AGAACCCATCTAAGACTCCCTGCAATTGCCACCAAAACTGAGCCATTCAGGGCCCCTGTGCATGCACACTGCACCCTTGAACTGCAGCAGCACAACCACCTGCACTCACACCCCGCCCTTCTAGGCACCCGTGCATACCCTCTTGCCCTCAAAGCACACTCCCATGAGCCACACTTGTGCACATGCACTGCGACCTTCCTTCCTGAGCTGCATCTAAAACATCAGCATCCATTCCCAACCCCCTGGACCTCTCTCATCTTCCTGAAGACTACTCCAGACTCCAGAGACAGGCAGACCCAATCTGCAGTACAGGCTCCAGGAACAAACAGCCAAGGCTATGTGCAACCAGAAGACTAAAGGCCAGAGTAAGAACACATCCAACAAAAATCAGGACACCATGGCTTCACCAGCAACCCAAAAATCAATGGATATTTTGTTGCATCAGAAACACAGGAAAATGATCTTAAATCTATGTTTACCCAATTATTAGAGGCACATAAAGAAGAAACAAACAAATCTCTCAAAGAAATACAGGCGAATGCAGCCAAACAAATGGAGTCCATCATGGAGAGATAAGAATCCACACTCAAACACATGAAAGAAATAGTACAAGATATGAAAATAGAATCAACAAAGAAAACACACACTGAGAAATTCCTGGATATCGAAAACCTAGTAAAGAGATCAGGAACCACAGAGGTAAGCATCACCAGCAGAATACTAGAGATGCAGGAGAGAATCTCATGCACTGAAGATACAATAAAGAAATCAATACATCACCCAAAGTTCTGACACAAAACATCAAGAAACCAAGGACACCATGAAAGGACTAGGAAAGGATCCTCACCAATCCTATATCTGACAGACGGCTAATATTCAGAATATATAAAGAACTCAAGAAGTTAAACACCAACAAAAAAGTAATCCAGTTAAAAAAATGGTGCACAGAGCCAAACAGAGAATTATCAACAGAAGAATATCAAATGGCTGAGATTTTTAAATAAATGCTCAACGTCCTTAGTCATCAGGGAAACGCAAATCAAAACAAGCCTGAGATTTCACCTTACACCCATCAGAATGGCTAAGATCAAAAACTCAAGTGACTACACACGTTAGAGAAGATGTCAAGAAAGGGGAACATTCCACCATTTGTGAGAATGTAAACATGTACAACCACTTTGGAAAGCAATCTGGAGATTTCTCAGAAAAATAGAAATAGTTCTACTTCAGGATTCATCTTTACCACTCCTGGGCATATATCAGAAACATGAAAAAAATCATTCAACAAGGACATTTGCTCGAGGTTCATAGCAGTTTTATTCACAATAGCCAGAATCTGCAAACCACCTAGATGTCCCTCAACCAAAAAATGGATACAGAAATCATGGTACATTTACACAATTGATAACTATTCAGCCATTGAAATCAAGGAAACAGTGAAATTTGCAGGCGAATGTATGGAACTAGAAAAGAACACCCCGAGTGAGGTACCCCAGAAGCAGAAAAATACACGTGGTATGTATTCACTTTTAAGTGTATATTAACCATATAATATAGGATAAACATACTAAAATCTGTAGTCCTAAAGAAGCTAAACAACAAAGAGGTCCCTAGGGAAGATGCTTAATGCTCATTCAGCAGGGCCACAGTTTAGACGTCAGAAGCAGTAGAAATCAGGGAACAGATCAGGACCCTACCCCTGAGGGCCTCTGAAGGAATGTATCCAGCAGGGTATTGAAGCAGAGTATTGAAGAGACTGATGGATCAACCAAAGACCATGAATGAAGGGGTATCTAGACCCTCTGCTCAGATGTAAACCATAGGCAGCTCAGTCTCCATGTGGTTTCCCTAGTAAACGGAGTATGGTCTGTCTGATTACTAGCCACAGAGAAAGAGGAGGCAGCCAGTCCTGATGAGACCTAATAGGCTATGGTCAGATAGTAGGGGGGTAAGATCTCCCCTATCAATGGACTAAGGGAGGGGTACAGGTAGAGAAGGGAGAGGAAGGGTGTAACTGGGAGGAGCTGAGGGAGGGGCTACAACTAGGATACAAAGTGAATAAATTATAATAATATTAAATCAATAAAAAAAGAAAGGAAAAGAAAAAGAAAAAAGTAAGTTATATATTCCAAACACATAGTATCACAGAATAAACTTTTCTATTACAAGAGATAACTACTATGGCTTATCAAAGAATAAGTCAACAACAAAACATCACAGAAAATGAACATCCAACAAAAAACAAGTTTTCAATGATCAAACACTAAATACTGCAGCTCCATACCTAAGGCCCGTACTCGTAATACACTCATCTGTTTAACAAAGACTTAGGTAGCCCCTTTACCTCTGACTGAAACCTGCATAGATCTTTCTGGGGCCAGCTGTCTTCAGCAGATGTTCTGTGTTCCAGTACTGTTCAGCATCATAGAGTCTGTTTAGAATTTATACTTCATCTTCTTCATAATTTCTGTCCTAGTTTATTCTCTGTTCCTGTGTTAAATTACTCTGTCTGTGAGCAACTGATAGGAGGGAAGGGTTTATTTCACCTGATGTTCCCAGGACACATTCCTGAAATGGAATTCAGAGCAGGAACCCAAATAGAAACTGTAGCAGAAACCACAGAAGAATGCTACTTACTGGCTCACTCAGGCTCATGCTCCTCTAGTTTTCTTATCCATCTCAGACCTACCCCAGGGATGGTGCCTATCACTCTCATACCAAGACAATTTCTTATAGACACTGACATGGCCATTCTTAACTGGGAAATTCCTTAATTGATGGTCTGTCTTCCCTGGTAACTCGGTGTATAGTGTAAAGTTTATTATACGTATGTGTCACGTTTTTGTGCTTTGTATTCTTGCCATGCCAAACATAACCTAGCCTTAACTACTTCCATGACTACCTCAATGTGTTTTAGACTAGTTCTTGCCTTCATCTGTGTGCTGAATTTGGAGAAATACTTTTCTAGGAAATTGCTATTGAGAAACAGGTATCCCCTTCAGCTTAGGCTCTCTTCCTTTAAAGGAACCTGAGTCTGCACACAAAGGAACCTTCATGGAATGAAGTTTACCTGGGTGCATTCATCTTGTCCTGTTGTGGTACGGTTTGTTTCTATGGTGTTGATGATTTCTATACCTCTCACTGCTGCTTATGCCAGTATCATCCTCAAAATAGTTCATCATCTCTGAATCCACCTTTACTTTGGTTTCAGGACATAGACAGAGTGAAGACAGACTCTTGGCCAAAATATGACATAGGTTTCTATCACATTTCCTGAAAGAATCCTTGTTCTTTTCTTCAAACACATTGTGCAAACACAAGCCACCACAGTTTTCGGTACTGCTTTGACACTCTTGTCTTCTAAGCTCACACTAGAATGGCCCATTAAGCTGTTAACAGTAAAAGGCTTTTCTTACCAACATTCCAAACTCTTCCACATTCCTCAACAAACTAGCATCAAATTCCTTCCAATAGTAGTGGGAATGCTGCATTTTTATGTTTGATTTTAAATTAACATACATGTGTTAGGAATCATTATGACATGTTCAACTCTAATTTGTTCTGTTCATCTCCCCCGATTATTTCCACTTTTCTTTCCCCTCCACTTATGCTCTTCCACCCTAGTAGCCCCTTTCCACTTTAATGTCATATGCATTCTGTTATCTATCCCCTCTTCTTTAAAGCCTCTTTTCCTTTCTCTAGTTTAATGACTTATACTTATTCTCTCACATATATGTAAACATGGATACCAAAATTGAAAGATAGAACCTGCTTCTGAGTAAGAATATAATGTATTTATATTTAGGAGTCAATGTTACCTTATATAATATAATGATTTCCGGATTAATATATTTTTCTGGGAAATTCAGAATTCAATTTTCCTATGCAGCACAAAAAAGTTCCATGGTGTATATTCATTATAGTTTCAGTTTCTATTCTTCCACTGATGGACATGTAAACCTATTCCATTTTTCAATGTTTATATTATGAATGTGCAGTATAAGTAACTTTGGGTGGGATGGAATCTTTTAGGTAGATGCCCATGAATCATATGTCAAGTCAGAGCCTAGCTCTGGTTTTAGCTTTTTAAGAAACTTCCCCACTTTCTGTGGTGGCTATATCCATTTTTTTTGTCCTATCAATAAAATGAATACTTTTTTTATCATTTTCCACATCCTTACAAATATTTTATTTATTTATATAATATAAATACATTTATTTATATAATATTTATTCTTTTTATTGTTGTTGTTGTACTAATAGCCATTAGATGAGATGGGATGGAGATTTAATTTCCATTTCTGAGATGTTAAATGGCTAAGGATGTTGTATTTATTCCTAAAGACATTTTTTATATTTAAAATAATTTAAAATTCAATTTATTTATCTCTCTTTTTATTTATTTGTGTGCTCTACTTGTATGCCTTTGTCCAAGCATGCAAATGTCACAATACATGTGTGGATATCAGAGGACAAATTTATAGCTCTTTGTTCTCTCCTTCTGGGAAACTGAACTCAGGTCATTAAGCTTGCTATGTTAATCTCTTAAGTACAGAACTGTCTTTTAGCCCTTATACACTTTATAGGTGCACTGCACTAATCCTCAGAAGGAGGAAGAAAGAAGGTAAGAGAGGAAAGGCAAGAATGTGAAAGAAGAGGGGATAGGAAGGGAGGGGGAGAGAGAAAAGGGAAGAAGATGGAGAGTTGGGGAAGGGAAGAGAAGAGCTAAGGATGGCCTAAATTGCACAATCATGATCCTCCTGACTGTCTTTGCTTCCCATATCCTTGAATTACAAATGTATCACATCACACCTGTCTTCATTTTTAACTCCTTAAAAGTCACCATGAGTTGGCATTGTGAAATGCACTTGGCTGCATTATTGAAGAAGTGTTTGAGTGGTTTTATCAGCAGAATATTTCTCCATTTTGCTGCACCATGTTGCTGCAAGTTCCCACCTAAGCCTCTATATTGGAGTGAGATGAATCTTGAACAGAGTTTGTCATGGAGATTGTACTTTAGAGCTTAGCGCTTTCTTGGCAGCATCTCTTACATCTTTATTTCTCAAACTATAAATCAGTGGGTTCAACACTGGGATGATAATGATGTAGAACACTGAGATGATTTTATCAGTATTGGGGGAATAGAGAGAGCTAGGCCGAGAATAAATGAAGAGAAGTGTTCCCTGATAGATTGCCATGGAGGACAGGTGCGAGGCACAAGTGGAGAAGGTTTTCTTTCCCCCACTTGTAGAGGGTATCCTCAAGACTGAGCGAAGGATGAAAGAATAGGAAACAATGATGATGAAGAAACAGATGAACTCCCATATGTGGAAAGTAGCCACTCATTAATGGACGTGTCCATACAGGAGAGTTTCAGCAGAGGGGGCAGGTCACAGAAGAAATGATTAATGACATTTTTGTCACAATATTTCAGAATGAAGGCAAAGGATGTGTGAACCAGGGAACTCATGTTGCCGCCAACATATGAAAGCACAATCAGCCATATGCAGAGACCCCTGGACATTGCAACTGTGTACAACAAAGGATTGCAGATGGCTACATAGCGATCATAGGCCATGGCTGCCAAGATAAAGGATTCAGTATCTGCAAATGTACAGAAGAAATAAAATTGCAGGGCACAACCGAGGTAGGAAATAGATTTCTTTGCTGACAGGAAATTGACGAGCATGTTGGGAACAATAACTGAGGAATAACAGAGGTCTACAAAGGAAAGGTTGCTGAGGAAAAAGTACATAGGGGTTTGAAGGTGCTGGTCCGTCCTAATTAACAACATCAAGCCAATATTTCCTACTAAAATCATGCCATACAATGTCAGAAACAAAAGGAATAAGATGATTTGAAGTTCAGGCTGTGTTGGAAAACCTAACAGGATAAATTCGGTGACCAGATGTAGTTTCCATTTGTAAATTCCATCTTTTAGCAAAGTCTAATGAATAAATTGTGAAGAAAAAAATTTAAAAAGTATGGATACAGGTAAATAGAGATAATTCAGAACAGGGTTATTTCATGTTTTTATTTTTATTTATTTTAATTTATTTATTTTTATTAATTACAGTTTATTCACTTTGTATTCCCCCATAAGGCCCTCCTTCATCCCCTTCCAGTCCCATCCTCCCTCCCCCTTCTTTACGCATGCCCCTCCCCAAGTCCACTGATAGGGGTTATTTTTTAAAAAGGTCAGACAATAAATAAAAAGTATGCTCAAATTGTTTCTAAACACAATATTTTAGAGATATATTTCAGACTTTAATGCATGCTAGAAGTGAAAGTTGCCTTGTGTTTTTTTGATTCATGACTCTGTGATATTGTACACTTGGCTTTTTCTATTCTGTATCATAACAATGCATGATTACATTTTTTTTATTTTGTCCTTAAATATAATATAGTATACTGATTAGAAGAATGAAGAAGTCATTGATGGTAAAAGAAAAATTATATTTTGTTTCAGTTGATATGTCAGTTTTTCAGCAAGAATTTTAAAACTGTCTGCTTTTTGTTTTGTTCTCCAAACCCCAAGATTTTAGTTATATGCTTGTTGTGCTGGCTAGTTTTATGTGGACACAATCTAGAGTCACTGGAGAGGAGAAGAGAGCCTCAGTTGAGAAAATTCCTCATATATTATACTGTAGACAACACTGGGTCGAATTTACTTAATTAGTGATTTATGCAGGAGGGCCCAACTACAGGTGGTTCTGAGTTCTAAAAGAAAACTGTCTGAACAAGCCAGTAAGCAGGACCCATCCACAGCCTCTGCCTCTGTTCCTGCCTTCAGGTTCCTGCATGTTTTAAGCTCCTCCCCTGACTTCCATTGATGAGAAATGGTAATGTGGAAGTGTAAAACAAATAAATCCATTCCTCTCAAGTTGCTTTGGACATGGGGGGTTTATTACAACAGCAATTATAACAAAGACAGTGTGGATGTAGTCCTGTAACAAAACACATGATAAGTAGCCACTTACATTTTCCAAGTGAAAATCAGAAGCATTATGAATGAAAGTAAATCAATTTTCAAAGACTACAAGTTCAGTTTGTTTCAGCAGTACAAAATCTTAGATAATTTCATAAGTGTTTTACATATATTAAAAAGGTTTTTTATGCAGGTCATGTGTTTTTTTATCTTTGGTTGAACTATGCTTGCATAAAAAGTAATACCCAGAGACAGCCCCTGCTCCCCTTACGAGGGAATCCACTTGAAGACTGAGTTTATGGGCTACATATGAGCCAGGGATTTAGGTCCTCTCCAAGCATGGTCCTTGGTTGGGGTATCAGTGTCTGCAGGACCCCCAGGGCTCATTTTTTTTCCTTTGGCTCTGTTGGTCTCCTTTTGGAGCTCCTGTCCCCTCCAGGTCTTCCTCTCTCTCCTCTCTTTCATAAAAGTCCATGCATTCTGCCCAAAGTTTGGCTATAAGTCTCAGCGTCTGCTTTGATAACTAGATCGTTAGTCTTTCAGAGGCCCTCTGTTTTAGGCTCCTGTCCTTTTCCCTGTCTATAGTGTTTGCCCTTCTGAATGAGGATTGAGTATCTGCTAGGGACAAGAAAGATAGAAGGGGAGGAGGCCCTCCCTTATCAGTGGATTTGGAGAGGGGCAATGGGGGAGAAGAAGGAGGGAGGGTGGGATTGGTAGGAGATGAGGCAGGGGGCCACAGCCTGGATACAAATTGAATAAATTCTAATTAATGATAATAATAATGATGATAATAAAAGAAAAAAGTAATACCCACTAAACTTTAATTAGTTGACAGAATAAAGTAATGCAACATTTGGTCATAACTTAATTTCTAATGATTTTAAATTACCTGGGATCCTCGTGAAAAAATTCAAGTAAAAAACAAAAAAAGCTGACAATTTTATTATAGTTTAAAACAAGTTGTTCTGTCTGTGAGGTCAGTGAATGAATGTTTCTGTGTTCTCAGGGTATTTAAATGGTATTCCATAAAGTATTTGAATGAGTTCATGGAATCAGTTTTTTTTTACACTTTATTCACTTTGTATCCCCCATAAGCCCCTCCCTCCTCCCCTCCTGATCCCACCCTCCCTCCCCCTTCTTCATGCATGCCCCTCCCCAAGTCCACTGATAGGGGAGGTCCTCCTCTCCTTACGTCTGATCTTAGTCTATCAGATCACTTCTGGAGTGGGTGCATTGTCATCTTCTGTGGCCTGGTAAGACTGCTCTCAACTCAGGGGGAGGTGATCAAAGAGCAGGCCTATCAGATTGTATCAGAGGCAGTCCCTCTTCTCAATACTATGTAACCCACTTAGACACTAAACTGCCATGAATTACATCTGTGCAGGGGTTCTAGATTATCCCCATCCCTGGTACTTGGTTGGAGTATGGGTCTCTGGGAATACCCCTGTGTTCAAATCTTCTAGTTCTGTTGTTCTCCTTGTAGGGTTCCTGTCCTCTCCATAACCTACTATTTCCCACTTCTTACTTAAGATTCCATGTACTCTGCCCAACAGTTGGCCATAAAGTCACAGTGTCTGCTTTGATAGTCTGCAGGGCACAGTCTTTCAGAAGCCCTATGTGGCAGGTTCCTAGGTTGTATCCTGCTTTCTTCTTTTTTCTGATGTCCATCCTCTTTGCCTTTCAGGATGGGGATTGAGCGTTTTAGTCAGGGTCATCTCTCTTGATTAGTTTCTTTAGATGGACAGATTTTAGGTTTATCCTATAAGTCTGTATGAGTGAGTATATACCGTGTCTGTCTTTCTGCTTCTGGGACAGCTCACTCAGGATGATCCTTTCCAGGTCCCACCATTTACCTGCAAATTGCATGATTTCCTTATTTTTCATTGCAGAGCAATACTCCATTGTGTAGATGTACTACAATTTCTGCATCCATTCTTCAGTTGAGGGGCATATGGGCTGTTATCAGCTTCGGGCTATTACAAATAAAGCTGCTACAAACATGGTTGAGCAAATGTGCTTATTGTGTACTTGAGCCTCTTTTGGATATATGCCTAGGAGTGGTATGGCTGAATCTTAAGGAAGCACTATTCCTAGTTGTCTGAGAAAGCGCCAGATTGACTTCCAGAGTAGTTGTACAAGTTTACATTCCCACCAGCAGTGGAGGAGGGTTCCTCTTTCTCCACAACCTCTCCAACATGTATTGTCACTTGAGTTTTTGATCTTGGCCATTCTGATGGGTATAAGGTGAAATCTCAGGGTTGTTTTGATTTGCATTTCCCTAATGGCTAATAAAGTTGAGCATTTCTTCAAGTGTTTCTCTGCCATTCGATATTCCTCTACAAAGAATTCTCTGTTTAGCTCTGTTCCCCATTTTTTAAGTGGATTACTTGGTTTGTTGCTTTTCACTTCTTTATTTCTTTATATATGCTGGATAATAGCCCTCTGTCAGATAAAGGGTTAGTGAAGATTCTTTCCCAATCTGTAGGTAGTCGTTTTGTTTTGATGACGGTGTCCTTTGATTTACAGAAGCTTTTCAGTTTCATGAGGTCCCATTTATTGATTGTTGCTCTTAGAGCCTGTGCTGTTGGTGTTCTGTTCAGGAAGTTGTCCCCTGTGCCAATGAGTTCTAGGGTATTCCCCACTTTTTTTTCTAGCTGATTTAATGTGTCTGGTTTTATATTGAGGTCTTTGATCCACTTGGACTTTAGTTTTGTGCAGGGTGATAAGTATGGATCTATTTTCATTTTTCTACATGTAGACATTCAGTTGGACCAGCACCATTTGTTGAAGATGCTATCTTTTTTCCACTATATGGTTTTGGCATCTTTGTCAAAAATCAGGTGTCCATAAGTGTGTGGGTTTATTTCTGGGTCTTCTGTTCGGTTCTACTGATCCACCATTCTATTTCTATGCCAGTACCATGCAGTTTTTAAAACTGTTGCTCTATAGTACAGCTGAAGATCAGGGATGGAGATACCTCCAGAAGATCTTTTATTGTAGAGGATTGTTTTAGCAATTCTGGGTTTCTTGTTATTCCATACGAAGTTAAGAATTTTTCTTTCTAGGTCTGTAAAGAATTGTGTTGGCAATTTGACGGGAATTGCATCAAATATGTAGATTGCTTTTGGTAAGATGGCCATTTTTACTATGTTAATCCTGCCAAGCCATGAGCATGGGAGATCTTTTCCTCTTCTGATATCTTCTTCTAATTCTTTCTTCAGAGACTTGAAATTTTTTTCATACAAGTCTTTGACTTGCTTGGTTAGGGTTACACCAAGGTACTTTATGTCATTTCTGGCTATTGTGAAGGGTGTTGTTTCCCTAATTTCTTTTTCAGCCCTTTTGTCTTTTGTATACAGAAGGACTACTGATTTTTTTGAGTTAATTTTGTATCCTGCCACTTTGCTGAAGGTGGTTATCAGCTGGAGGAGTTCTCTGGTTGAATTTTGGGGTCGCTTATGCATACTATCATATCATTTGCAAATAGTGACACTTTGACCTCTTCTCTTCTGATTTGTATCCCCTTGATCTCCTTTAGTTGTCTTATTGCTCTGGCTAGGACTTCAAGTACTATGTTGAAGAGATATGGAGAGAGTGGGCAGCCTTGTCTTGTCCCAGATTTCAGTGGGATTGCTTTGAGTTTCTCTCCATTCAGTTTGATGTTGGTTATAGGCTTGCTGTTTATCACCTTTACTATGTTTAGATATGTGCCTTGTATCCCTGATCTCTGCAATACTTTCAACATGAATGGATGTTGGATTTTGTCAAATGCTTTTTCAGCATCTAGGGAGATTATCATGTGGTTGTTTTTCTTTCAGTTTGTTAACATGGTGGATCACATTGATGGATTTTCATATATTGAACCACCCCTGCATACCTGGGATGAAGCCTACTTGGTCATAGTGGATAATATCTTTGATGTGTTCTTGTATTCGGTTTGTGAGTATTTTGTTGAGTATTTTTGCATCAATGTTCATAAGGGAGATTGGCCTGAAATTCTCTTTCT